ATCAATGGAGATGCTCACTCTGGAATTCCTACAAATTTTCTAAAAAGTCCCAGTGAATACCTTAAAAAGAAAGCATCAACTGAAACACAATTGGAAGAACAATCCCCCAAGATAATTTCAATTTCCAGATATGTGAGAAATAACTGCATAATGCTACATAAATTCTGAGGTACATTATGATATGCTATTTGCTGTAATACCATAAAATTGCCTGAAATAAAAAATGATATTTCTAAATCACCAGTAGTGTTGTAGGTCTCTGCTATAATTATGATATTGCTGGATATTTAGCAAATATTCTGGAAGAGTGAACATACTGTGTGTTTCTCAAGGCTGTCTTTTTAAGGAAAATGGGTCCGCTTCTGGAAAAAAAAAAAACCTTTATTTTTTACAGAAAGTACAAATTTCTTAAAATTAATCACTTCTTGCTAGAAAACCATGTTCAACAATTTGGATGATAGTAATGCTAGCACTGATCTTTGATTCTTCTTCAGAGCACTGTAAATCCAGCTTCTCAGTACATTATAAACTATGCATTTTTTCTTCCTTACGAGGCTCTTGGCAGACTTTATGGTTAGCACAGAGATGCAGCAAAATAGATGGTTTTAAAGGCAGCTGAGAAACATTTTTTTTTTTTTTTAAATGGAAGAATTTACTTTAGAGGATAATTTTATACTTTGTTAATTTTGAAATAACGTATAACAGCCTTGTTGTCAGAGTGTAATTAGTACCTGGTGACCAGCTAGCATATATATTTGCGTACTGTTTCTTTTATCCCTGTTCATTTGGATTGCAAACCAAGAATGAAGAAAACACCTTGCCTATTTGAATTAAATTTGATTACCATACCTTCGGTAATTTTAACTGATTTTTTGACTCCCTGGCGTTTGGTGAAATGTAAATTGTTTGGTGATCTTCTAAGTGCATTCAATTAGTATTTCTCATAGCAGGATTGTGTGTCATAGCATTTGGCAGTGCTTTGTTTAGCTAATGTCCAGAGAATATGCTCTGAATAGATTGCATTCTGGATAAATAAGTTAGGCATTTAAGCAGAAACCGGTGTGACTAATGTGGGATATCAAATTCTCTAGGACTTGCAGTTCTATATATGCTTGAAGAATGCATACGTGAAAACATATGCCATTTCATAACCTTGACTTTGATTGCATCACATAGCTTTGCGCTGGTGTAACCAGCTTGGGCCACCTCAGCATCGATGGGTGATTGACGGTCTGGTGTCCAGTTCTTCATTACATTACCGCAGTAGCTCTAAAAGCCTGCTGGTCAGGTTGCCTTCATCAAGGTCTTTTCACTGATGTGGATTCTTCAGCGTACGAGTGAAATACGTCTTAGCCGATTTAAAGGATGTCTTTATGATTTGGAAGCACAAAAATACGTCTAGCTTGCTAAGATCTTTGCACATGAGGCCATTATCTAAGTATCACTGCAGGAGCGCTCAGAAACAATTCTGCATAGCAAAGGGCAGTGATTGCCTATAATGACTGCCCTAGGCAGAACTGAAAAATTACTTCTTGCAACCTATATTGTTGAGGACAGGAACCTTTTTCTTTGTCTGTAGATGCCTAGTAGATAATATGTTCTATAGATAATATAATATATGCCATAACACGAGACACACTGACCTGATAAAAGGATGGACTCCACAGTATTCAAGGATTTAAAGTGCAAATGTGACAGAGTTTTCCAGCAGCCTATCGTCAGTTAACTTTCCAGGTTAACTGTGACTAGCATTTTTCTACCATGTTTGGGGTTTGCATACCGCATTAAAGAATCGTCCTCCCCAGGTTTTGTATTTTTCCCATTGCATAATTTGTTGGGATGTCAGTCCAATAATAGTAACATAAAATGAGACTTGCTATAAATGAAAAAGTGAATGCGAACATTTTAAGATAGTGAGAAATAGCCATTTTCAGGGGAGAGACAGTAGTGGTTTACGTGTGAAACTCCCAACAGGAAATCTCAAATGCTTTTCTCATTTCTGATGTAAACTGATCTTGTCATATTGGACCCAAGACTTCCTCATGAGGGGTTGGATAGATTGGGACCCAAAGATTGGATCTGAGATCAGAATATGGCATTTGTTATACTGACTTGACACTTTCCTTTGTTCCTGACTTATCTGTACTATGTTGCTCCCAGCTCTTTCGGGCTTTATTTATGATACTGTTTTGACTATTCAAATAGTATCAACATCTATAGACTATTAAGAACCTCCCTGACAGCATGCAGAGATTGAGTATGGTAAAATGATGTTTAACAGTAAAATAATTCCAATGTAATTCATCCTTCCTTACTGCAGTATTGCTTTGAAACGTGGAGCGGGACTTGAGAGTGAAGAAAGCTGGTTCTTGCTCTGTTGTTGTCAATACATAGTATCTGCTGTGTGCAGAAAGGGTTTTCATTTCTGGGGCTGCCCATTTGGCACTCTTCTAAGAAACGTTAGGTTTTTTCTGGAGGAAAAAAAGAAGATCCAAGACTCTTTGTGGTCTCCGATTTTTTTTCCCCTCTTTGAAGTTAGTTTTGCTACGTGATAGTTGAATTTGCATTGTAAATTGAGTTCATCCAGCTTGTGGGACAATTAAGATATAAACAGGTGTTCATAAAAGTATAATTTGCCAAACAAAATAAACATTAGATTCTAGGGATTTCTGATTATCATCTGAGCTATGGGAATAGGACAGCGAGCGAGGGATCATTTTTCCCTGGAATGTGGGAGTGTGGGGGAAGGCAGAAGGGTCTTTGAAGATCTTGTTTAATTGATTCCTAGATGTAACCTTTTCCTGTTTTTCATTTGGGGCTTTCTGGCTCCACGCTCCCCTTCAGAATATGGGACTGATGGAATACAAGCGAATACCAGCACCTCAGTAAATGCTCCACAGGTTATTTCTTTCAAGAGGGAACGTAACAAATTTGTGCAAAGTAGAAATTAATGGAAGTTTTTAAGTTTACAGCAGCTACCAATTTAAGTACTTATTTGAAGTATTGGGGGTGGGTGGGTGTTCAGATAAATATCATTAACATAAATAAATGTTCTGTGTGCTTGGCAGTGTTCTTAGCAAGAGAATCCCAGCAGCTCAGTAGGAAGGTGCTTTCCTCACTTGCCTCCTTTGGAGCTCATTTGCTCCTCTTTTGTATTGGATCATAACCAGTAAGTTTAGTAGTTCTATCTAGCAGTCATTCCTTTTACTAAAACTTCTTAAGCTTAGGAAATTTTACATTATTATCCTGTGACATAATAGTAATGGATCTCAGGAAGCTGATCTTAAGCTTTAGGCTTCTAATCATCATGAGTGTAAACAACAGTTTCCGAAAGAGGGTCCATTTCAGAGTGTCCCGCACCACTAACCCCTTCTGTCCCGGCAGCTAATGGAGGAGCGAGCTTCCTCCATCACCAAAGACAAGTACTGACTCTGAACTGACATAGATTGGCAAGATTATCTATTTCATTGTTGATAGTTTAATAGAAGGTTTAATGTTTGTTTATCTGTCCTACTGGATGAAATGTTGGGCTGTGTAAGGAATGACTAGTGCTCAGGTTGTGTTCAAATCAAATCCAGTCCTTGCTTTGACAAGGAGATGGAGCGTCTTTTATCTGGCTAAATGCTGAGCTGTTACATACTCCCAGGCTAGAAAACAACCCCACCGCCACCCAAACTGTCCTTCTGTAACGCAGCCACAACGCCAGGTTCTCTGTGACAACCACGATATGTAACATTCAACGCCAGCGCAAGTCAGATCTTGAGCAGCACGACTCCCATAAAAATCATGGAATAATTTAAGATGAAAGCAATCCTCCATACAGCTAGATCCATTTAACTCTTACGATCGGTTGAACACCAAATCAGCGTTTAAAGCTTTCAGTGCTCTCCCTTCCCTAATAACAGCGTAAGCTTTGGACTTTTCTGGCTGTGTGCTGAGTATGAAGGTTGAAAGGAAGAAGTCAGGACTGCAATCAGAAATTCATGTCTCACGTTCTTGGCTCTGACGTGACTTCTTAAGCACTTTTGAACAAATTACTGAATATTTCTGTATGTGTGTTTATACAAAAGAGAAATCCATCTAACAAACATCTTACTTCTAGAGATGATGTGAGAGCTACCAGTTTGCATAGCATTTTATCACTATAAATAGTAACACAAATCAGATTTGATTTCTAGAGGCAGAGTAAATAGTCTTTTAGTTGTTTTTAAAACAGTAGAAGTTGTAGGATAGACACTTAATGAGGTCATATTGGCCAGTATAGGCCAGTATCAAAACTTGCAAGTCTATTTGGTCCACCATCCTATCTGCTGGCATTTTCTGTAGATTATATTGACTTTTCTGTATGACAGGTTTTGGGTTTTTTTATTTCATTGTTGGTTTTGGTTCAGGGGTTTTTTTTGAAGTTTCATTAACAGTGTTTTTCCTATAAAGCACATATTTGTCAGTGCATATATTGCCATACAATAGATCTCACCAGCCAGTCATGCAATTCCATTTCAAATTGGAAAGCAACATCAGTAATACTATGAAATAACTGGGATAGGAGTGTTTTTTAATCATCAAAGCCATGCCTTCGTTGGACTGCTTCTGAAAAGGCACAGGGGGAACAAAAGATGGAGCTTCATCAGTTTATGAAAGGAATTATATGAAGCAATTTCCCCTAAACAAGACTGGACATAATGACAAAAAGTGCCACTAGCCTTATGGGTTTCATAAAATACAGAGTAACATTAGGTGGAGAAATCCCACTAATCATTCAAAAAAAAAAAAATCTATTGTTCCTTTAGTCTTAATTCAGGTTAACCTGACCCAAAGAATTATATCAACATGTATTAAGAATTGCTATTTTAGATCTACCTGAACCAAAATGTGCAACTGATTTTATTTTTTTTTTTAATTTTTATTTTCCTTTATTAATAGGTCATGATGGTTCTAAGTACAAAGGCTCAACTGCCTGATTTGTAGTGTCTAAATTTCTGTTCTTCTGTTCTCTTTAGATAAATACAGGGCACCGATCACAGTTAACTGTATCAAGTGCAGAGGTGGGAAACGAAAGGAGTCAAAATTTGGAAAGCAGCCCTTTCATGTCAGATCTTCTGAGTGATGTACCCTTTGCCCTGGCACCACATGTGTTAGCAGTACAGGGCACCCATAATGACGTTCCTGACCGACTGCTCACCTACGACATCAATGATAATTTATCAAGATTTTGGTATGACTTTACACTTGAAAATTCAGTGCTTTGTGATCCGTAATGTTGGGGGTTTTATTATTTTATTTTATTTCTTCTGTTTGTGTCAAGGAACAAGTCTTAAGGTGAAGATAAAGACTTATTTTAATCGACTTAAGTGTGGGGGCCTGCCACTGGTATATCAGATGCATTGGATCAAAAAGATTATTATTCACAACTGTGTTACATTTCGTAGCTTTAAGTGAACTGTAACTTCCTATGTTAAATATTCTGTTTAACTCCAAAGAAATCAAGCAAAGCTGTTTCAGCCTGAGTAGGAGACTGGCTGTTGGTGTCTACTTCCAGTAGGTAGGCTGCAGACACAAACATTTCATAACTTTAAAATGAAGTCTATGCACATCTGCACTGTTTTGTTATTTCACTCAGATGCTAAACACATAGATCCTGTTACATGTGTTTCTTTAAGATCACCTCTGATTTTCTACAGATAGAAACCAGTATTAATGCTAAAGCAATGCTGCTTCGCACTACTGGACAGACAGCTTTTCAGCTAAACCAAGTTTTAAAACTCAGTTAATTATGAGTACTTAAATAATTATGAAGACTTAATAGAATTGGTTAAACTTACCAATTTCAGAGTGAAAATCAGTTGCTCCGCTCCCTTTCCAGTAGATGGTATTTTTGTCCATCTCATTTTGTGCCTGGAGAAGTCCTCCCCGCCTGCCTGTTGGCTGCTGTTTGTTCTCAGTACCACATGTGTTCCTGATTTATACACAGATCAGCTTTTCCATTTTAACCTCTTTGCCCCCTGAAGGAGGAAATCTCAGGACACGTACTTTTAATGGTCACACCCTTCTTTTTTTAATTTGTGTGCCAGAGATACAGATGGCAATGTTTAACAACAGGAAAACATTACATTGTTTCTTATCCAGCTAAATTAAATGGCTAAGTACCTAAACATGCATTCTCACAGACCACTGTGTCCCCTGCTCACAAACTTTGAGTATGTTTTGCCCGACTAAAACCAGAGCTGCTGTAGCATGAGCAACGCGCTCTCTGATGTAACATCACGATTTGTGATGAATAAGGATCTGTGTGACACAAAAGACTACACTTGTTTTCTCTCTTGGGGTAGAATATTTATATTGTGCCAAATGTTAGTGGATATTTTAATAAATTTTCTATGCTTTGTGATAGCTTAAAAAAATATTTTCAAACTTGCATCCTCTTACAGTATTTGAGATAAATACTGTAGATGATGGAGAAATCACATTGTGAATACATCTTAGGTTGTTAAATATTCATGTTTGGGATTTTTTTACATGTATGTATTTAATATTTTTGAAAGCTATGTTCATAAATGTTTTGAAGTTATTGTTTCAGGGAAAGTATCTGTGCTGCACTCCAATAAAAAAAAATGCTAATTAACAATGACTTATTTTTTATGTGTGAGAGTAATTGCTTACCTTCACCTGTATTGTTTACTATAGCTGTGACCATTAAGACTTCCTGGGAGCCTGAATGTGGAAATTCAATTTGGAAACCTTTTCAGTGTCATTTAAAAATCGAGGTCCTTCTAATCAAATATATCACACTTTCATCTGATGTACTCTGTGTGCTACGTTGGGGACTTGTGGTGGTTTAGGTGGCATCTGTGACACTGCTCTGAGGATAGTATGGCTGTGAGCTGGGAAGTACTGAGACCTTTTAAAAGGAAGAATTAATTTGACCAAGTTGTTTAGAATGGTTTTGTGTGCTGAGCTTTCTAGTTAACACATACCCGAAGCACTAAATTTAATTTTTACAATTGTTTTGTATTTAATCACTAAAAAAATTAACCATTCTGCAAATAGCATGTTTCCATTCAAGTTGTCCATTTCAAGTCTGAAATGTTTCTGCAGCTCAGCTGGTTGTTCTAGAAGCAGAACTGCAAAACACTGTTGAAGACCAAACAAACTCACAATACTTGTTCTTTCCTTCTTAGCTGACTTGGCATACAATTCTTTGCATTCATTTTTTTGCTTAAAGTTAGATAATTTATCTAAAATAATTACATCTTGTCAAAATTGCGCTCTGTTACACTCACAAGCATCCTTTCAAAAGAAAAGGAGAGGCAAAGGAGCGTAGGGAGGAGGTTGCATTCATAATGGGAAATGTGGACAGCAGGTTAAACATTTGGCCTTCGTCCTTAATCGTGTTCCGTAAAGGGTAAAAATTTACACCTAGGGAGAGTACTAGTAATGAGCAAGGGGACTGGGAATGTGTCTCCTGACTGCCCTCTCTTTAGCAAGGGCTGGGCCTCAAACCTCTCCCTTGCTTGAGATCATCCATAAAAAGTGAGTTGAAGCCTAATGGTATCCAGACAGCAAAGGTGAATTTCTTCCCACTGGGATAAGAAAAAAAAACACTTGAACTGTTATAAATTAGTAAGATTTACGTATGTTACTATTAGCCCGCAAATAACATGAAGATGGTACAAAATCTTTGGAAAATTAAAGATTTCAAAGAGTCTTAGTTCATATAAAAATGTGAATTGCTTGCGTAAGATATGTTTAACATCCTACACTAAGTGATTACTGCACAGAATATATATGTATCTGTCACTGTCAACAAATACTGGATGGTTCTATATATTGTCATTCAAACATTTGACCACTGATGAAGGAATACAGTTAATTTTAAAAAATTGAAAAACTATTAAAATATAATCAATATTGATATCAAAATGGGAAACGTCCCTGGCTGTCCTTTCTGTATATTCGATATATAAAAATGAGAACCTGAATAGAATTCTTTGCTTTGTGTTATGAATATGTGTGTAAATTGTTTAAACAGAACTGAGAAGTATTTCACAGCTGATGTCATTAACATCAGAATTAAGAAGGGTTGTCAACTCCAGAACTAATAGTGAAAGGCCGAGGTGTGATCCCGTGCCAGTGGAGTGCTGTAAATGGGAGCTTTGTCACTGCCATTAGTGGACATGTTAGTAGGGCTGCACTCCTTTATTAAGTAGTTTGTTTAGAGTTACTTTGGTTCACGGGAGATTCCGAGTTTCCCTTGTAGTTCTCTACGGTTTCCTTGCGAGAGATGTACTCTGCGCTGTGTGATAGCTTCCTTATGGAACTTTCTAATAAATCAAACGTAACAAGACACTTCTTATTTCCTCTGGAAATGTTGTAAATACAGGCTCTGGAAAAGTCTAATTTTAAATGTAGAAAAAAGGGGAGCGAAGCCCACATGTTCAAAAGTAAATCAAAGAATAATTGCATCCAGAGTAACCTGACAGAAGGCTGATCGGGAGCTGGTCCCTACAGACAACTCCCCGGTGACAACGTCAGAAGTGGAACCAGACAATGCCGTGTCCGGCAGGCCGGTCGAGGAGGTGGTTACAGATCCAGTTTCTGATGTTTTCTGTAAAGTATGGTCCAAACTCTGATCCTATAATACTGCAGCTGGCAAATGTACACTTGCGTGGTCACAGATGAGAGGGTTTGACCCCAGAGCAAATAAAGGAAAAAGGCAAAGAGCATATTCACTGCGGTAATTACAGTATCTCAAAATAACACCCAGTTTATTGCATTTTTAGCTGGAGAACCTGTTAGGTTCACAAAAGCACTGGAACAGCCTCCTGGGCAAGACGAGTGGGTTGTTCTGAACAATAGCATAAAACTTGTGTGTGAGAAACCGCTCTCCTCTCCTCCCCACCACCACCCCCTCGTTATGACATGATCATTTATCTTGCTTTGGGTTTTCTCTGCTCAGCCTAGTGAGTATGGGGAGGAACCAGAAGTGCAGCTCATAGGGGTAAGTCATTCCCTTCTTAAGTAACTGCAACTCTTCTACCGATGACAGGGCAATTCCAGATTAACCAGATTTCCTTTCGAAGCCAGAGAGTGTCTGTTACAGCAACAAAGAGGCACAAAATCCTCCTTAAATTCCAAAGGTAGGCTCCTGTTTAGTGCTGTAGGAAGAAGAAGGTTTAATAAGCCAAGTTGAGTTCATTCAGCCCATCTGCTGCGCTGCAGCTCTTCATCAGCGTTAAGCTTGGCATTCTGTAGCGAGCTTGTAAAGTTAGAAAGAGGTACATTACGCCCTATTTCTTCCCATAAATATGCCAAAGTCCTTAAACTGAGGAAAATTATTGATCTCCCTGTACCCTCCATTGAGACTACGTCCTCTCTTTACCAGTTAGATATTTATGTCCTTTGAGTCTCCTAGAGAGCTACCTCTTTCTTTTCAACGTCTTTCACAGAAATGAGTTGGGCTTCATTCTGCAAAAGGGATCTGTTCCCATAGACGCTTTCTCAGCCTTCCTTCTGTCTGAATCACAGCCGTCCAAAAGGAGAAACGTAAGTATTCATGCTTACTGCAAGGGGAGAAAAGTCGCTACGTTGTTCCTGTTGTGTTGACAGTCAGTTAAGTTGGAAACATTACTGCCCATGGAATGAAACTGAGATTTTTGTCAGTTCAGAGTTTCATCATTTTCAGATGCCAGGAGTGTAAGAAGTAAACTTGATCTTCTAGGCATGGCATCTCACTGTTTACTTTCGGAGCACAAATTTTAAGTTCTATGTACAGGTAGGTGATGTTTCTCTTTGCACTATATGGTGCTAGTAAGTAAGACTTTTAATTGTCCTGCGTGTGCTGCCGGGATGGCTGAATGATCTAAAACGCAGTAAAATCCAAAGCACTATTTGACCTCTGTGGGTGCAGTCCCTAGCAAGAAAATTGTGCAGAATTTTATTTTTTTTCTCTCCACGTATAAACGTATTTAAGCATTCAATAGAATTCCTAAAAAATACCATTTTAAACTTTATTTTCTGAAACATATTAATGGAAAGCTTTTCTGCCTTTACAGTGAATGCTATAGGTCTTGATTAAGCCTGGCCATTCTACATGCAATTACTTTGAGGCCATTAAAAATTACTAGTTTTTACAGATACCTACCTACTATGAAATGGCAGAGTTCTCATGTGTTTGTTATTTCTTGTATAGAAGGAAAAATATGTAGTAGAATTACATCAAACTAAAGGGGAGGGGACACACATGTAAAGCGATTT